ACATGGCTGGTCCCTTTGTTCTTCTCCTGTCTGTGTGCTGACCTGGGCACTCCTGGGCAGTGAGGGGCAGTGCAGGTGGCCGCTGTGTCCACCTCCCCAAGGGCAGCTCTGCCACACTGCCTACTGTCAACTGCCTGGAAAACATTTCTTATTCATGTTTCTCTGTTTTTAATTATTTAAGATTGTAGAGAAAACTAGATCCTATCTCTCCATCGTGGCTGAAATGTTTTATTTGGGATTTTGATTGACATCGATGGGAAACGTCATGTTTTTTATTCTTTCCTCTTAAGAATGCAGTAGATATGTCCATTTGTTCAGGCTTTTCTTAAATCCTTCAGTGGATGTTGGTCTTACACATTTGTACTGAAGTTGCATTTAAAGGCCCCAGGACCGGGTCCTTAACTTCTTCCTTAAAGCATCTTATTCTTACCCCGTAGCAATTCAGGAATAGCGACTGAGGATGACCCAGGGCTTCTGCTCCTTAGAGTAGGTCCCAGGCCTATCCTCTTCCTCCCCCGCCCATAGATCAGGGGAGAAAAGGGCCTATTCCAGCTGCCTCTTTCATCAAGCAGCTCTGAACTGGGGGTCGGGGTGTGGAGGCGCCCCGCACACAAGTTCAGGGGAGAGACTGGTTTAGTGCAGCTTCTCAGCGCAGCTGGCCTGCAGCTTTCTTCTGCTTTTATCTATCCTGGGCATGGAGGCACCCCGAGAAGCAGAACCTGTGGGGGGCTGTCATCTTCATTGGTCGTGCAGTCACTCCACCCACTTTGTTTTTGTTGTGCGCCTCTTCTTTGACAGAGGGTTACTAACGTACAGAAAAGAAGGCTGTCTCTAACAACATCCCTGCGTTAAACAGCATTCACGGGCTAGTTAGGGAGGTTGGGGACATGTGTTCTAAATGTCAACCAACCGATTTGGAAGCAAACCTAGAACCGAATCTTCCTACTTACGCTGGGAACTGTCTGTCCTTATGAAACATCTCTTGCAGTGATGACAGCAATGAACCGAGGAGGCCTCAGCTGACTACAGTCATACCGGATGGGTAAACACCCAACTAAGTAAAGAGCTGGTTAATTATAGCTGTGCTGTGTTTACAGACCTTTAGTCAATCTCCTGAGAGGAGACAGCCTCATCACCTACCATGCCTCACAGCATCTTTTCAGAGGTCAGGCCTCTCCATTAACTCAAAATACGAAGTCTTAGGAATCAAAGGACTGGGTAAAACCAGCTCACTTATTTTCCATGTGCCACCATGTGGGGATCAACTTGTATAGACCACTAAAGAAATAATAAGACAAACAAACCGTGACAGGGAGATTTAAAAGCATTGCAGGGTAGTCACATAACCCCACCTCACACTCAGCCAGAGTCACAACAGCCTCGTCTCTGAAACATGGTGGATCAGACTTTCTGAGATGGTGAGGTCAGCGCCTCCCTGAAAGTTGGCCACTCTCTGACAGCTTTATTGGCAAAGGAAAAAATGTCCTTCTCACAACATGCAACATACCTGGACCTTCTGGACACCCAGCTCACCCCAGCTGCGGATCGTGCAAGCTCAGGGCGGGTGGCCCGGCTGGTCCACAGTGCCCAGCTTCAGCTCAGACCGGGTGCTGCGGCTCTGGTGCACATTAGCGTCACCCAGGCCAAGGGCATCAGCAGAGCTGGGCTGGGCCCAACCATGCTGTTTAAAGCAAACGCTCTGGGTTATCTAATGTTCAAGGAGGGTTGAGAGCCACTGCTCTAGACAAGATTTGTGACCATCATGCCAAATTTTAACACTTAAAGAATCGATGCAGAGGAGACTTTAATCCATAATATATAGCAGAAGTTAACTCTAGTTTTCCCAAGGATACTGCCAAGTAAGGGGAAATTGCCTATTTCTTCGGTGGCATCTAGTTTAGATGACAACCTCCTGTTTGTATTTGTGTGACCCTGCTTCCTGCACAGCTTTCAAATCTGTCCCTTTCCTTCCTGCTGCCCCACCCCTGGTTCAGACCCACATCACCTCCCGGCATCCTCCGAACCTTCCTTGCCAGTGCTGGTCCCATCATTTCCTCAAGATCCTAAACGCAGGTCTCTCCCCAAATGAACTCCCTTCCGTGGCTCCCTGCCATCTGGAAGAAAACTCAACATCCTCATCTGGGCATCCAAGGCTCTCATGACAAGGCTGGGGAGTGGTTACTCAAACCAAAGTGTCTGTAGGTCCCAGAAGGATCATTATCTCATCTCTCAGCCTTTGCCTGGGTGGCCTGCGCCTCAGTGCATCTACCAGAAGGCCCCATCAACACTCTTCTTCTCGGGAGACCTTTTCTGGCCTCCCTGCCTCCCATCTCCCAGTCTCTGGTCTTCACTGCCTCTGCCAAGGTAAGGCCTGCATAACCTTGCAGACATCTGGCACACAGCGCATGCTCACAAAATGACTGAGTTAGCAAGTGCACTCACCACACATCAGAATGGAGTCCGCTTCCTGGTCAGGGTCTGCGCCTCCTCCAGGGCAGCGGGGGGCATGGTGGATGCAGCGGGAGCTCTGCCCCACCACACACTAGCTGGAAGACACTGGGCAAGTTTAACTGTTTCCTCTGCTGTGAAATGAGGGTGACAGCGACAACTTGAGGAGCTGTCAGGATGAGGCACGAGGTGTGTGACAGACCCGTGGCAGGTGACAGGGTATGTTCTTTCCTTGACTTCTCACCATCTGCCAAACACTCTGCCGTACTCAGTAACACCCCACTAGAAGCTCTGGTTTTGGATCATGCCCTTCTGAATGGCCAAGCAGCTCTACTCTGAGAGTTAACTGTTGGACATGAAAGCCTCTCTCCTGTGCAGCTCGGCAAGGGCATTAAATTTTAGTCCTTATTTGATTGCTCAAACAGTCCTTAGAATTAGTATCCCCATTGGGTGGCGCCTGTGGCTCAAAGGGGTAGGGCGCCGGCCCCATATGCCAGAGGTGGTGGGTTCAAGGCCAACCCTGGGCAAAAACTGCAAAAAAAAAAAAAAAAAAGAATTAGTATCTCCATTTTATAGCTAAGAAAGCTGGAACCAAGACAAGGCAAAGTGTTTCCCTTTGGAAAGTGAGTTTGGGGACCCTCGGCTCAGATCTCTCCCTCCTGCTATGCCCACCTCATATTCGGTCTTGCCAATGAAGTTTATTTTGAGACAGTCTTACTCTGTAACCCTGGGTAGAGTGGCGTGGTATCACAGCTCACAGCAACCTCAGACTCCCAGACTCAAGTGATCCCCTTGTCTCAGCCTCCCGAGTAGCTGGGACTACAGGTGCCTGCCATAAAGCCTGGCTAATTTTTCTATTTTTGGTAGAGACGGGGTCTCACTCTTGCCCAGGCTGATCTCAAACTCCTGAGCTCAAGTAGTCTGCTGACCTCGGCCTCCCAGAGTGCTAGGATTAGGTGTGAACTACCACGCCTGGCCATGAATACTTTTACCACTTAGTTTTTTTTAAAATTAAAACCAACAGTCAGGCAGGGTGCCATGGCTTATGCCTATAATCCTAGCACTTTGGGAGGCCAAAGTGGGAGGACTGCTTGAGACCAGGAGTTTGCAATACCCCAACTCTATAAAAAAATAAAATAAAGTGTGTGGTGGCAGGTGCCCGTAGTCCCAGCTACTGGGGAGGGTAAGGCAGGAGGATCACTTGAGCCCAGGAGTTTGAGGCTGCATTGAGTTGAGGTTGCCACTACACTCAAGCCCAGGTGACAGAGCAAGACCCTGTCTGAAAAAACAAAACCTTCAACAGTCCAATAATGACTATGTTAATAATCTAAATTATATTTTAAAAAGTAGAATCATCTTAGCCCTGCAATTTGGGACCGAGTAGTAACTGACTACCACAGACTCCTTGGATTACCCCCCTACCTTGGGTGCCTTCCCCTCAAGCTTGAGGATAACTGTGCCTGCCTTGTGGAGCACGGGCAGAGGTGAGGTAACACATACAACCTCACACAGGTGAGCAGGCTCTGGCACAGGCAGTAATTGGCCTCTCTGTCACTGTCATTACTGCAAAGGCTGCTCTGCTCGGTGTCCACAGTCCTTTCTTGGGCCCCACTGTGGGAAAGAACACACTGTGGACACTCGCTCTTCAAAGCTTCCTGCCTCACTGAGGGCTCTGGTAACAAAAAGCAATTTAAGGCAAAAAAAGTAACTTTATTGACTGCTAATCTTACTGTGAAACATCTATAAGAAATAATTACAAAATCTTTTTTTTTTTAACACACTTTTGGTATCACCCTGATATGATGATCCTTTCATAGAAAGGATCATTTACAATCTTGGGAGACAGAAAGCTCATCAGCACAAGTACAATGTGGGTGCAGAGAGCAGCGTACGCCAGACTGGTGCACTGGACAGCAGTGGGCACGCGAGAAATGCCGAGGAAATGACAGCTTTATGTTTTTCTCTTTCTTTATTTTAAAAACAATTTTGAAATACAAAATGTAGATTATTCAAAGTGGATTTTCATTTACATACACGTGTGTATATATATAATTCTGCTGGAAACAGTGGATCGAAAAGCAATGTTCCTTAACATGTTTCATTTTTGAAAACCCACAAGACTAATCCAATTAGAAAAGAGGTGTGCAAAGCCACCAACGCAGCTGGCGAAACCCTGGGACTGGCTAAGGAGAGAGAAAACAGGAAGCTCTACCTCTTCGTAGTAATTAAATATGTTTTTTATGTTTCTTTCTTAAATATGCCTTTTCTTTATGTTTGGAAGAAACTCTAAGAGCTGACGGAAAGCACTGCATCGTGATCCGGGCTCAAGGGAGCACAGAATTCCCCAGGACTTGTCTCAGCATCATCTGGAAGAAACGGTGGATTATTTAATGACTTAGACGGGAAACAGCCACTAAATGATCCTCTCTGCTTTTTATCCTTTTGCACAGAGACTGAGATACTTTTATACATTCCAATATCTGAAACTTTGGTTCTATTAAAGCATTTGATGAAAGCAAAATAATTTCATGACCATACAACTGTACACAATGTTTTTTTCCTTTGTAAAGTATGAGGAGAAAGTAGCTGGACAAGGCGTGTTGCACACAGGCCTGCGGCCCAGCGCAGGAGGGCAGGGGGCGCACACTCACCCTGGTCCTGGAATGCTGACTCCCATCCTCAGCTAACACTGCTTGAGTTCTGCTCTACCCTAACTCTATTTCTTGGTTACCTGAAAACATAATAATTTTGTACAAAAATATGACTGTTTCTTTAGAAAATAATATATATTTTTAATAAAACCTGGCAGATAGAAAAAATGGTATATCAAAATATGGTAAACAAATGTTGTAAAATACTAAATCATTAAAAACATCTCATAGAAAGACATTGTGCTGTGAAGTTCTCTCCTCAAGTGCGAGCAATGTTTTTACATTGAAAGGCTGACAAGCTCACTTGCTTTCACACACGTCTCAACAGCAGCATAGCAGGTAACTGTCTTAAAAGTGGCCCTTTCTCACCACATCTACTGCATGCTTTTTACTTCAAAATCAACAAAAACACACCCTCCAGATTGGTCATTTTCAACCCTGTTGCATATCGGCTCCACCTGGAGAACTTCAGGCAAAGGCCGCTCTCCTTGGCTCCCACCACAGAGACTTATTTTAATTGGTCTGGTAGGAGGACTCTGACATTATTTTTTTTTAAAGCTCCCCAAATTCTGCTACACAATCAGGGTTGAGAATCATGGCCAAAGGCACACAAGGAAACAGTCATTCTTTACATACAGCAATTGATTGTCTGCAGAGATCATTTGGTAACACACCCTCAGTATTGAACGAGAAGTTCCATGTCTATAAGACGGTCATGGAAGCCGTAATGAAGACTTAGTAAGCTTTACACACATATAAACACACACGGCCCATGGATTTATATATGTAGAACATCTGCATATAGTTAGGATATTTTGGTTAAGCAGAAACTAACATTACTATAATTTGTTCTTGATTATTAAAAAAACCTGAACAAACAAAACACCACCAAGCACAAACATTGTCTAAGATATTTCCATAGTTTTGACAGAAACAGCTTTTGTAAACGCCACAGAATGCATTATGACACGAACACAACTGATCTGTCCGTGGATGAGAAACTCAGCCAAGCCGTGGAACTTTCTGGAAGGTGGAGGAGGAGCACGCAGCACTGACGAGGTGTGGTGGAGTCACAGGCGTTGCAGCCGCAGGCTTCCGGCTGCTGGTCTTCCCGTCATCAGGGACCTCCAAGCAGCTGCCCCATCACACACACAGCTTTGGCGCGCTAGAACCACGGACTTTGCCCACGTCATCAGTGTTCACTCCGGGACAACCTCCCGGTGGCAATGGCCTCTCCATTAACAGTAGAGAGAATCTCTTCCCTCCCTCAAACCATGAACTTTTTATGAAGGAGGCGTGAAAAATTTACAAGCAAACAAATAAACCTAACAGCATCTTTCAGGTGATAAAAGTATGATATTATGTTTAACTGACCTAAAAAAAACAAATGAGCAAACCAACCAGTCTAATTTTCTGCAGGCTTGGTGATCAGTAAAGCACATCTCTTTCTAAAACATGAATGAAATTCCGGGCACTTGTTTTGCTGTGCATTTTCTGTAATTGTCTTCTGTGTAATACGTAAAGTGCACTTGTCTCAAGGCTTTTGTTTCCACAAGTATTATAAAGAAAGAGCTATGTCTGGGGTGAAGACAATATGGCACAAATAACAGGTATGGAGCCCACAGCTTCCACACCCTGAAGCAAGCAGCGGGCTCCCGCACGGCTGCACACAGACAGTTTCATACGACGAACTCTGGAACTTCATCGTGAGTGAGATCCAGAGAAAAGTACTTGCTGGTTCTTTTGACTGGAAAGGCAACTTGCATGTTGACGCACTGCTGAGCCAAGCAGCTGTTGCAATAGAGGCCTTCCTCATCCAGTTCATGGCCGCAGCCGAAGGTGTAGCTCTGAGCAGTGTCCTGACACAGACCCGCAATGCGCAGGAAGTCTTTCTGGTAAAGTCTGATGTCGTCCAGGCTCAAGCTGTGTCGGTCCGTGGAGGTCTTTGGTTTTCGACAGATAGTCTGCAAAACAGGGGGAGGGTGGGACAACTTTGAGAGGAAAGACTGGAGTGAAGGGTCAGCACACGGCCCTGCGAAGGGGACACCGCCAAATCATAAAGGGCGAGAGAGCCTTTCATGTTAGGAAGTGGTTTCCAGTCTGGGCAGCTTCTGGGCCCCGGGTTCTGAGGGGAAATCCACCAGCTGCAGCTGACGTTTCCCGAGCACACACTCTGGGCCAGGCCGGGACCTACGCACTCTGCAGGGAGTGACTCATTTCATCTCCCTGACAGTACCATGAAGCAGGTGCTGTTATTCCCCTTATTTTATTGTTTTTGAGACAGAGCCTCATTATGTCCCCCTTGGTAGAGTGCTGTGGTGTCATAGCTCCCAGCAACCTCAAACTCTTGGGCTTAAGAGATTCTCTTGCCTTAGCCTCCCAAGTAGCTGGGACTACAGGTGCCTGCCACAACGCCCAGCTGTTTTTTTTGTTGCAGGGGTCGTTGCCGTTTTAGCTGGCCCGGGCTGGGTTTGAACCTGCCTGCCTCGGTGTATGTGGCCAGCGCCCTAACCACTGAGCTACAGGCGCCAAGCCAATTCCCCTCATTTTATAGATAAATAATCCAAGGCACAGAAATACAGGAACCCACCTATCTCTAGCATTTCAGAAATCCATCAATTATGCTAAAATGAGGCCATAAAGTGTTCTTGGTGCTGCCAAGGTTTGGGGCAAGCCCCAGGCCCCTGAACACTCAAGGGGTCATGCTGTGCCAAATGCCCCCCACGGCAGGGAGCAGACTTTCAGAGCTCATCATCCCGAAGAGGGCACTGGTGGGAAATCCAAGCAGGTGGAAAAACAGCTGAGATGACGACATGCAGGGGAGAGGCTCAGGGGTTGCTTAAGGAATGAGATGTTCTCTCTCTCACTGTTGTTGCTGAACACCAAACAGGGCGACCTGGTTAGAATAAGACGTTCCGTTCCAGGACATTTTACTAGAGAACGTCCCTTCTAAGGGACACTCCTAGCACAGCACGATCCCTGGTACCGATGCAGTCTTCCCTCGTGCCAAGAGGACTCCACACGCAGAGTCCCTCGGTCTTCCCGCAAAGCCTCAAGCTACAGGACTGTTCTCCCCGGGTGTTAAGGCTGGGATTCTCGGCCGCGCCCCCCAAACATTTCTGCGCACTAAGTGTCAGCCCTGAGTGGCAGAGGGAGGGTGCAATCCAGGTGGTATGAAAAATTCACTGCACTGTACACACACTTGAAAGAGTATTCATCAGACTTTTCAGAGAATATTTAATAAATACCATTTCACATTATGGTACTTTAATGAAAGTAAAGGAGAATTAGAAAAAAAGGAAAAACAGGGGGAAAAAAATCAAGGGGAAAGAGAGCCAACATTTAAGAAAAAGAAAGAAAAGAGAAAAACAAATACAGAAGGAAAAAAAAAACCCAATACACAAAGAGAATCCAAAACAGAAAAGCAGAGGAGGGAGGAGGGAGCGTGTGCTCAGGATAGAGGTGCTGTCGGCGGAGAGCAGGTCCACACGCTGACACCACGAGGGTCAGAGTGTCTTACTACATCTTCTGACATTTTAATAGTTTAACCAGAAATCATAAGGTGTCAAATGCTCTAGCTCAGGATACTTTAAAAATTAAATCCGAATGGAAAACCAGAAACCTTTCTGCCATAACACACTAGACAAGAATATTATTCTCCCAGGTGTCTCAGGTCACGAGATACACACACACACCACACACGTTCATGAACACACACACATGCACATACACCACACACGTTCATGCATACACACGCACATGTGCGTGGTATGTGTACGTGCACACGCACACCCAGAAGCCAAGACCAGAAAGTGTCCAGCTATATATAAAGTGTAAAATGAAGTATATACTTAGTATCTAAATAATAACCAACTCAAAGATAAGTGAAACAAGCAAATAAAATAGAAATAAATTCAAAATAAAACTAGAGCGTATGTATCTAGTAAGAATCACTTTCTTACGGTTGTAAATTTTTGTTCATTTATATAAATGTAAATGTAATTTCTCACTTAAAATTTCCCATAATTCAGCTTCTAATTTAAACTTTCACTCCACATACCTGTGGGAGAGAGTCAGTGCTCTGCCCGCGCAGTCTGACAACGGTTTCTGACGAGCTGGAGGTGGAAGAACCAACTTCTTTTACAATCAACCCTGAGATAAAACACCGAGAAAAACACAATGAATACTTCACATGAATACTTCAAAGGACTACTTCGCACTTTCTGCCACATACTCTGACACCTACTATTACCAGGAATGAAATTCTCTCCTGTCTCATGGAAGACAGAGGGTAGTGAGTGGGGTTAGAGTACAGAAAGGAGCTCAGAGTCTGAATTTCCCAATAAACTTCTATCATGCTATTTATGATGAAGTTGGAAATAAAAAACAAACACTGCAGGTCAAAGCCTCCACTCCTCTCCCTCCACGTCACCTTGCGGAGCAGTGGCACAGCCTTCCAGGTCTGGCTCCGCTGGGGCCTCCAGTGGTGAACTGTGGGGGCCCCGGCCACCTGAGTCAGCAGACCTGGCTGGAACCTGGCCCAGACAAGTAATGAGCTGTGTGTCCTGGGCTGTCACTTAGCCTCCCTGTGTCTCAGTCCCCTCCTATAGAATGGGGTGGGTTACCAGCATCTACCCAGGAGTCTCACTGACGACTCAATAGCAGGCGCAGGGAAGGGTGTGGCACGGGGCCTGCAGGGCGCACGTAAGTGGGAGCGCCTCTGGGCTGACAGGACGCTGCAGCACAGGCCTCCTCCAGCAAATCCCACTGGCAGGAGACCAAACAGTAATGGGCCTTTGAGAACAGGGCCCCTGATCATCTCAGTGCTCTGGGAGACCCACTGAGTTTTCAGCAACAGAAATCCAGGGCTGACATTTTCCTACATGACCTTGGCTTGTGAGTGAAGCACCCAGAAAAACTTATTTCAGGTCAAACTACCAACAAGAACAGAGGTGTAGACGAATGCCACTTGTCAGGGAGCAGGGCAAGCCCTACATCTGCAAGGCCAAAGCGCTTTTCAAGAAAAGTCCACCTCCCTCCACAGAAAGAGAAACTTGAGTAATGAGATTTCTATTCAGCTGCTGCTAGGAACCTACAGGAATGACTTGTGTTCTGTCCCTTAACTCTTTAGAACCATCTTGTAAGGATTCAGCATCCAGCATACACCTTAAATAGATCAGGTGTTCAAAAATCAGTTCAATGAAACCTGGAACATGAAGACATTTCTGATTCACATGTGGACAGTTTACAAATCGTCAGGTGAGATTTGTGTTCTGGGGGTTAGTACAAACTGCTTTAGTAGGGGGCCTTTCTCTAGAAAGATCTTTCTCTCCTATAAAGCAATAAATCTTTGAATAGATCCTTACAGGGGCATGTGGACTCCTGCACCTGCTGCACTAGGTGTGGCTCCTTTGGGTGTCCTGATAGATGTGCCCCTGGCCACCACGCCTGCAAGTGACTGGAGAGGAGTCAGCGCTGAGCCTGGCACTGAAAACGCTGACCCAGCAACTCCACTGAGAATGCAGGGCAGTGGCACAGCCGCTCAGGACTCTGTCTGAGCTCAGGGTTTCATAAACAATATTTAAATGCTCAAACTGTAGAGAATTCAGAAAACTAGGATAGTGCAAGAAAGAAAAACCACATTATCCATGATTCTGTCACCTGGAGAAAAGGCTAATATTTTTATGTATTTTCTTTATTTTTATATACATATCAACATTTTAATTTTTAAATTACACCATACTTTTATGCAGTTGTTATTGTCTTCCTTACCTGTCTTTCTTGTTATTACACGTTACTCGAAAACCTCCTACTTAATGCCACACCTCCATCATACGCCATTGTGTGAACAGAGTGGGATCTAACCACTGACTGCTCTTTTCTTTCTTTGCTATCATAACTTTTTTTTTTTTGTAGACAGTCTTAAGATGTCGTCTTAGGTAGAGTGCTGTGGTGTCATAGCTCACAGCAATCTTAAACTCTTGGGCTCCAGTGAGCCTCTTGCCTCAGCTTTTTTATCTTTTAGTAGAGACGAGGGTCTCACTCTTGCTCAGGCTGGTCTTGAACTCCTGAGCTCACATAATCCACCCACCTCAGCCTCCCAGAGTGCTGGGATTACAGATGTGAACCATTGCACCTGGCCTGTCTTAACATTTCAATAAACATGTTTGTATAGCAATCTTCTTACACAGCCATCCTATTTATCGAAATTTTACTTCTATTTAAAATTACAAAATTAGGCTGGGCATGGTGACTCATGCCTGTAATCCTAGCTCTTAGAAGCTGAGGCAAGTGGACTGCCTGAGCTCATAAGTTCAAGACCAGCCTGAGACACAGAGAGACTCCCTGTCTCTAAAAATAGCAGAGCACCGTGGCAGGTGCCTGTGGTCCCAGCTACTTGGGAGGCTGAGGCAAGAGAATCACTTGAGCTGAAGAGTTAGAGGTTGTTATGAGCTATGATGTTACAGCACTCTACCCAGGGTGACAAAATGAGAGTCTGTCTCAAAAAAAAAAAAAGTAAAATTACAAAATTAATAATCTTACAAAAATTAAATGTAAAAATATACAGATGGTGCCAAAAAATGTATACACAACTTAAGAAATGAAAATACTGTATTAAAATACTCAAGTGATGCTGTGATTACAAGAGATAATCACACTTGACACACTTGTATACAAGGTGACAGAAATGGTAAGGGCGTAACCAGGTATTGTAATACCGAACATTACAATTTCAGCACAGCTTCTCCCTTCTTAAACCACATACGCATCTTTTTGGTGCCCTCAGTAAAAACCCAAGGTGCAAGTCAGCTTCCCTGGTGCCCCTTCCCAGGGGAACCCTCCCACACACTGTCTCAGCCCATTTCCTCTCCACAAACACCGATACACACAGCTTATCCACGCACCCATCATGTGCATAAAGCTGTGATTTATATCTAAAACATGCTAGAATATATTTATAAGAAGAAAATGGAATATCATAAAGCAAATGACAGAAAGGGGCAAAGTCTGTACGTAGACTCTAAGCACGGCCAGAGCACAGCTGAGTCCTGCTGGGCCGGGAGGGAGGCCCAGTGGCCACAGCAGCTCTGCTCCAGGTAGAGCACCTGGGGGCTGTGGTCCCGGTGACTGTGTGGGCTGGCAGACGGCACCCTGAGATGAAAGGTACCCCATGCTCTTGCAGAGCTAAGTGCCAGGAGGATGGGGACTGTGTGCAGGTCCTGCTTCTGGAAAGGGTCACAGAGTGTCAGGGACGGGTGGGGCAGTGACAGGTTGTCCAGCCCTAACAGAGCCTTTCATTCAATCAAAGTGGAAGCACGATATGGATGTGGGTCACTTCAACAGTGGTGGTTCCTAAGGCACATTTTCTAAAGGACAGAGACTAATTCATGACGAGTGACAGCAGCAGTTAGAAGTGACCAAGGCCATATTGCTGCCTGTTTTTAAGATAGTATCTTCCATAAAACACAAACAGATTTATTAAACACATAACCGTATAGTGAAAAATCATAGTGAACTATGCTTTCAGAGAACGACTACCAATATGGAGTTTAAAAGTTTCTTTTTAGGTTAACCCTTTCTGACATTTTTGTCCCAGACTCCTGTACCAGTACACCAGCGTGGGAAAATCAATCACGACACAATCCTGGAGGCCAGACTTCTGTCCCTAGCCATGGACTCTGTCCTCTCTAATCTATAAAAGGAGGCCAGACTGAGGATCTCCACGGCGCCTCCAGATTCGCCGCGTGACTCTGATCGGAGCAGTGAGGAACACAGAGCGCCCGACGCCACAGCTGCCTTCTGTCAGTGTCAGGGAGACGATGCTAGTCCCGACCCTGAGAGGGTTTCTTCTTCCGCAGAGGCCCACGTCCCGTAATCTATGACACGAACCTGGGGACACTCGTATTCCAGCCTTCCCCCCTTCCCTAAAGCTCCCACCCATCCCTTCTATTTTCTGCTTTTCAGAAGGAGAACTTCCCGCAGCAGCTCACCGGAGTGTCCGTTCAGCGTCCGTGACAGGAGCATGTCCTCTGTGATGCAGACGCACAGGTCAGGGCTGACCCCCAGGGGCTCCTCGTTCATCTGCTCCAGGTCCCGGGGGTCATCCACTAGCATCTCTATTTCTGACAAAGGAGGAGGAAAGACATTTAATGACATTATTCATATTTGAAAATAAATTTGCTGCTGAGACTGTTCAACATGGAACTGCAAGGACCACCCCACTAAGGGCCACCTGATATTCTCATAGGATTGCTGTGTCATCCACGCAGCCCTGCGGCCATGACAATCATCAGCTACTCTTACTCTTTGAGAAGAAAGACTGTGCTGCTTTGCTGCCATGATGAACAGCCAAGTGAACCTGAGGGGTCGTTTGCTGGCACAGGTGGGGGGTAGGCCACGAAGCTCCCCATTCCCACGGCTGCCTGCGCGCAGGGCACAGAGCAGTGTGATTTGAGATCCACGCAAATTCTACAGGGATGAACACACGTCCTGCGGTTTCCCTCAACAGAGCCAGTGTCTCTGCCCTGACCCTGATGCTGTGGCACTTATCTGAGACAGAACAATAATGTAAACGAGGTGCACGAACACTGAGTTAGGCTGACAAGGGCCGGTGGTCCTATCTCTTTAAAACAGTAAACTGCTGGCAGCCAGGTGCTTTGTCTTTTTTCTACCCCTGACAGTTTCAGTCACATAAGAGGCATGTCCAGAACACATCCCTACCTAACCCAGGGACTCGGGCTCCACTCTACTTGGGCGGGGGTGGGGCGTGTGTTCCTGTCACTCTCACTGCACTCTGCCCACTGTGTCACCCTCGTCACTGCCCCACTACAGACATGAGAGCTGCTGTGTCTTACTCCGTATGGACAGCTAACACTCGGGGGCCACTCCAACCACCCCCTTCCCCGGTGGCCGCAGAGAATCATGACTGGAAGGATGTTTTGCTCTGGCCAAGTACTAGCAGCTCGAGCGAGTCAGCAGGGGGACGGCAGGGTTCCCTCCCCATCACTACTCTTCAAAGTCGCTCCCCGACGTCCACGCCGCAGGATGAGCACGGTTACCATCGTCCTGGGAGTCCTCCTCCAGCCGGTCCTTGCCGCCACTTTCCACCCCCGAGGTGTGGGAGCTGCCATGGCTGGTCATGGAGCTGCAGGTCCTCAGCTTGCGGTGCACGGCGCTGCCGGAGTAGCCGTCCTCCGGCCCTGCGTCACGGGGCTTGGGGTCGGCCTCGATGCCCGAGGTGTGGGAGCTGCTGTGGCTGGCAGTGGAGTGGTGAGACAGGCGCCTGTGCTGCGCGCTGCCTGCACTGCTGCCGCTGGCCCGTGCCCGCTTCTCCAGCGGGTCCATGTCCAGGTCGAGGTTGTCGCTGATGTAAGATTCCCGGTACTGCTTCTTCTCTGTGTCAAGGAAGCAAGATGGAAGGAGCGGCTGGTTAGGCACCAGGCCAATGCCAAGGACAGCTTCGCATCCAGAATGTATTGACTAGAAAGCAGTGATCATTTAGACAGCAGCCTGGCCTAACACTGAGACACTGGCCGGGGGCAGTGGCTCACTCCTGGAACCCTAACGCTGCTCTGGGAGCCTGGGGTGGGTGGATCGCCTGAGCTCAGGAATTCGAGACCAGTCTAAGCAAGTGTGAGACCCCATCTCTACTAAAAACAGAAAAACCAGTGGACGTTGTGGCAGGTGCCTGTAGTCCCAGCTTCTTGGGAGGGTGAGGCAAGAGGATCGCTTGATCCAGGAGTTTGAGGTTGCTGCTGTGAGCTATGACACTATGGCACTCTACCCACGGTGACAGAGTGAGACTGTGTTTCAAAAAAAAAGAAAGAAAACGAAGACTAAAACATTTCAAAAAAAAAAAAGAAGAAGAAGAAGAAGGAAAAGAGGGGATGTGAACCACTCAAAGACAAGCACGCAGTGGGTGGGCAGCTGCAGCCACTGCCTGGGCACAGACTGGTGCTGCACAGTAAGTTCAGTGACTGAGCACGAGCGCTTAGAAACTTCCACAGCCATGTGACACTGCAGCCATGGGACATTGCCATGACAGCCACTAATGTTATTCTGTATTTTGCAAATGTATCCGTCCATAGCATATTACTTAAAAAAATATGGTCCTTCTCTACAGATAATTTTAGAAGCACTGTTCTAAAGAAGATTACTTAATAAATATAATTATGCTAACTGCCTTTAATTTTATTTATTCATTTGTTCTAATTTATTCCATTGTTAGCTTAGCTCCAACTGCTGAATACAATTTAAAATGAAACTATTCTTCTGTAAATTTCCTACAAAGATTCTAAAATTTAGATTTTCATTAATGTTACTGCTTTTTCTCCATGAAGGCTGAGTTAGTGAGGCTTTACACTCTTTACAAAACACAGTGGTCACTACCAGTTTGATGACCTAAACCCACACGGTCTCCAACTGGGAAAACTGTTGTTTGATTTAAAATGTCAGCAGTGTTCTTTACTGCAATGAAAGACACACTGCAAAGTCCCTTTTACTAAAGTAGCCGTTAAGGCACACGATTACTCTTAGCTGCAGGCATACAACTGACAAAAAAAATGTTTTGTGTGCCAGGTCAGAAATGCAAAACAAAGACACAGCTTGGCTTCCCTGCCTTCTTAATACTAATGAGAAGTAACATGTTAAAACAGTGCGTCTGGGGACTGGGAAATCAATATTATTTTAGAAACTGCTAACTAGTAGACTAATTAGGTTCTCAAAGGCCTGTTAATGGGTTTGTCTTGTTTCATGGTTAAGTGAAGATACTTGCACTCCTCATGTCTGAATCCAGCCTGGCCCATCATCACCATGGGCTCCCCAGACTTGCTTTCCAGGATGCAAAACGCAGACAGAGCTTGGAGAAGACAGTGTGCCACTTCTGGGCCGGCCTGCTCATGTCACTCTGGGACCTGCAGGCTGGAGACGACACCATCACCACAAGGAACGCGTGGCCAGGTGCAACTTGCCAATCAGGGAGAGACCGGGCTCTAATGGCCCCTCACCTTTTAAGGTCAGCAGAGGTAGGGATGAAGATGAGCTAAAGGGTTTACAAAATTCCTGCACCGTCTCTATTCACTGCAGTTTCACAGTAATAGCTCTGTGGCCCTTCGAAGGGTGGAAAGTGGAGAGAAAAAAGTGAAACATATCTATTCTGTGTTGGCGCTCTGTTGCTCCAAGACAATCAGGAAGTGTGGATCTAATTGCTGAAAAGCATCTCCACCTCCTTACAAATAGCCTGTTCACTCCCAGTGTCCTCACAGGTTCAGCGCCCATTACAGTTACTCTACAGGCCTGAGAAGACAAGTACCCACCAGCCTGCTCTCTACCGAGTAGGGGCCTATGCAAACCATTTCCCATCACTGTGGCAGCACAGCCCACATGTCCCCTGTGGCTGGCTTCCCTTCCCTTCCCAGCGCTGTATCATCCAGACTTTCTGCAAACATTTAAGAAGCTTTACACCACCCAGTTACAAACTGAAGCAAAGGTTTACATAACGGTGAATTAAGCAAACTGCAACCACTCTCCCCTGAGAAGCGCTGTGTCAGTGGGGCGGGTCAGCAGTGGGACATCTTTTTGTCCCCTCTTTTGTAAGCACCCAGAAACAAAGTTTTTCATGCATTATTCTGAAACATAACAGAGTAAATATGACCTCCTGACCTAAAAATAAGCTCAAGCTATTCAATTAAGTTGGGCTTGGATTTGTTTTTGATGACCCAAGGCACGTTTTCCCTTCTCTTCTGAACCCCATAGAAAAGCTCTTCTGATCATTTTCTACTAAAAAATACAAAAACAGTGTTTCAGACAAGGTGACTCTAAATGAAGTTTAATTAAGAAAAACACTGACTCTTTGTGCTATTGTCTTGCTAACCTGTTGCCCTGAAAAGGGCTTTTCTTGTTAAAATGATGGAGCTCTTACGTGTAGGTGAGATAACTGGCTCCAGGCCAGAGCGGCCCCAGAGGAAGTTGGGTTGAGCCCTTCTTCAGAAGTGGAGGGATCTCTAGGAGAAGAAACTAAGGCTGTCTTCTTTGGAAGAGGAAAAAGGGTTCTCCCCCAGTCTACCTATAATTCACCCAAATAAAGGATCCAACTTATGACTCACATCTTTATCATTCCATCTTCATTACCCCACTGCATGTTTGAATGTCTGCACCCTCCTGAATCATGTTCAGACCTAACTGCCACTGTAACAGTCTTTAGACACGGGGCCCGGAGAGATGTTAGGCCCCGAGGGTTCTGCCTTCGTGAATAACAAGGTCACTGCTCCTGGCCTGGCTCACCGTAAAGGGCAAGTTCAGGCCCCTTCCTCTCTCCCTCCTCAGCCCCTTTCTCTTCCTGCCTTTTATCATGGGATGACACAGCAAGCAGGCCCTTGTCAAATGCTAGCCCCCTCAATCTTGGACTTCCCAGCCCCCAAAACTGAGGAAATAAACTTCTCTGCTTTATAAATTACCCAGCCACTGCAGCAGCACAAGACAAACCAGGACACACGCTCCCTGAAGCTCCAGAGAGACTCGGAACACACAGTTCCGAGTGTGGAATGGACACAGCCCGCCCCTCTAAAGGCTCAAAGGGCTCAAAATTCTTTGTAATTTTACCTTAGAACCTATAGAGTAGGGTCATTAATTCTCTCAGGTTCGAAAGAGCTCCTTTCAGGTGATGTGAACAAGAATTTGCTAAAATGCTACAGACGGAAAGCTGGTGGAAGGAATGAACTTCTCAAGGTGCCACGCTGGCCATTCAGGACACAGGTAGACCTGCCAATGTGGGCCGCGCGCCTGATCTCACAGCTTCCCTCAATGCTCCCGTCCCCCTGAGTTCCTCTTAATATTCGTGTCAGCACAGGAGAGATGTCTGTGACACTGATGAGTCATCCTGGGAAGAAAGGCGGCCGATATACCCGACCGTGACACCAGTTCCTCCAAAGACAGATGTGGTTTGGTGGCAGACAGTGGGGAGTGAATCACGTTCCAATTGCTACTAAATTACAAGGGAGTCTCCAAATGGGGTCTCATTTGACGGAGAAAGTTTCTGAGAGAAACCCATCAGAAGCGCCAACTGCTGTGAGGCCTCTGTCTGTTTAACCAAGGCCAGTATTTGTCCAGCTCCTGCAGCAAAGGTCAAGGTCTGTAGGGTGGGCACTTGTTTCAGATATGAACCTAGGATGTGAAGCTGCATCCTGACGTTCATAGCACCCCTCCAAATCTAATCGAATCGAATCACCATAGATCTGATACCAAAAGTGTTACTACAGCATGAGCCTGCAAGACAAACTGAAAATCTTGAGAAGTTAAAAAAAAAAAGCAACACACTCAGCTTCGAATTTTTTCTCTTTGAACCGAGAAACCACAGGGTTCATCTAATTTAACTTGTGCTTGTCCTCCACAGTTCCAGATTTCGCCAGATGAGAAGGGCTGACCATGGCTGATGGTGGAGGCCCTCACAACGCTCTGCTCTTCCTCACCTGCTGGCCCTTCTTCCAGGGCCCCGGACTCCAGGGCACCAAGGAGCTTGCTCTGCCCCACCTGCATCTCAGCAGGCCCCACAGGACTACTTGAGCCCCGCTCCCCAAAGAAAAGTCCTTCTCCTTTGTCATTCTTGCTGGGCCAGACCTTGGGGCTTTTCAGCTGCCAAAGACACATCCAGAGACACACCTGTGACCTATCTTTATTGACAATGGCCTGAGGAATACCCACATTGGAAGAATTCCACACTGCCTGTGGATAATCCTACCACGGTGGGCCGCTGCATACACACAGCTCCGAGATGCATATAAAATCTGAGTTGCGGATAATCCTTGCCCTGTGCCTTTACAGAGTGGCTTTTTGCAGGGATTTTCAAGCCAGGTATGGAGAAACCCTCTGGAGTCTGTACTAGAGATAGCTAAATGCCTGGGGTCCCTGAGGTTCTGAGGAGGTGCTGGGGCGTGGCCCTCCAGCCAACCCCCAGCCTGCAAGAACAGTGCAGAGATGTGAATAGAAATGCTGCTCTGAGTCTCGGCAGTCCCAGGCCCCGACCCCGCTCTGCAGGAACTGAAACCCGAGTCCCCGCAGCTGCAGCGGCGCCTCCCCCCATGCTACCTTCGCTCTCCTCCAGCTTCCGGATGTGGCGCAGGACGGGCTGCAGGTTCATGTAGAGGCGGTGGCTGTTGCTCAGGAGCTGCAGGAGGTGTCTGGAGCGCGTGGGGCACCCTGTGTAGTATATGAGCTTCCTGGCAGAGGGCAAGCCATCCGGCAAAATCTCAAATTTCTTACCCTGTGCAGGTAAAGCATGAATCAAATTTAGGAAGAAAAATCTGACTTGACAAGGTCCCCTTCATTTCCCATTTAATAAAGAAAACTATAGATTCAGAAATAAATGTTTAAAGCTCCACTTAAAATTCTGAAGGATAAGTTATTGTTTTCCTTTTCAAAAATGTCACAAGGATAGAGGATTACCAACCCTTCGGGGAAGTATCTCACCAGGGTCTTCAGGGGAACACTGACTACAGAAGGCAGCTGAGGACGACCCTTGCTTTCTCTGGCTGGTCAGGCTACGTGTGCAATGGAGAAGAAGGGCCCAAGAGGAGAGCACGCTCAAAGGCACTCCCAACACCCCAGCCCGGCAGACGAGGGACAAAGTCTAGAAGAGATGAATGTGTCCCAGACACTGTCTGGGCAGTGGACAGACTGACAAGGCTCCTGCCCTCCTGGTGCCACATCCCAGCAGGAGAGATGGTTAATACACACATACAATAAGACAGTTTACAATAATGCTGGGAAAGAAATAAATAAGGAGTTATATAGTAAACACGGGATACCTATTTAGGGTCTGGAAAAAATAGGAAACTTCTCTAGCTGGATAACAGGGGAAGCTGGTAGCTGGAGGGATGAGATGGGAAAGAGAAAGAGTGGCTCCCAGCAGAGACAGGGGAATGTCACTTTCTCCACCTGGGGCCAGTAACATGAAGTCCCGTGTTGAAGGTGAGGATCTGGCACAGCTCCTTACAGTTATGAAATACTATGAATTTCTTTAACTTTCCTAATAATGAATAAGGAAACAGAATTATAGAAAGGACTATTTCAGATACAATGACTTCATCTGCAGAGCAGGTGAAGCGGGAAGGGAAGGCAGGCCAGTCACACTCCGGAAACGTGGTGGAGAGCAACGTGGGTTTGTGTGGCCTCGGCAGGGATGGGATGTTTTTTATTTTAAAGGAACCACTAGTGCAGGCATCCTCAAACTGCGGCCCGCCTAGGACATTTATCTGGCCCGCCGGGTGTTTTTGCCACTGCTGCCTGTCCTGCTTAGCAGCCCACTCATCCTGGGGCCCGCAGTCCGGCCCTCCAACAGTCTAAGGGACAGTGAACTGGCCCCGTTTAAAAAGTTTGAGGACCCCTGCACTAGTGGATCCCAATACTGAATTGGTAACGACTGACATTTATGTAGCACTAACATGTAGTAATTCATTTAAGACTCACCACAGGTCTATGGGGAAGAACAAATTATTCCATTTTAGAACAAAACCAAGACACAGGGGGTTACACAGCTGGCTTGAGGTCCCACAGCCAGGCAGCGCTAAATTGGCAGCAAGCAGAGTCACGTGGGAGACTTGTCAAAATACCTTCCTGGTCTCGACCCAGGCTACTGAGTCAAAGATCTCTCGTGGGGGCAAGATGAACACGAGAAATCTGTATCTTAAGCTCCTCAGACGAGACTGATGAATAATTAGATCCAATGGCCACTAAGTCCAGGACCCTAAAAGAACTCAATTTCCTAAGTGCATTTATTACTACTTAATTTAGGACATGAAAGGAGCTGGTGGGGTTAGAATTTACTTGTTTAGAAACAGCTTAGATCCTTTCATAAGGAACCTGAATGAAAGAGAGCCAATGAGGAGGGGACCAGCCAGGCCCCATTTAATGTATGAGTTAAGTGCAATCAGCTTGAACCATGCCCAGGTAGTTACAGTAATGTGAAATCAGAACAGGGCAGTGCGGCTCGGCGCCCACACGCTCCATCAATACAGCCCTTTACGTATCCAGGCCATCTCCGTACAGGAGAGAACCACCTGTCTACAAACCTTCATCTCCCTCCTTTCTTTGTGTATTTCCTCCAATTGTTTCTCAGCAAAGCAGAATTATAGATTTTAATGACCACAGATAAAAATGTGCACACTATTAACCATAATTCTTTGAATGCTATAAACAATGCATATAGCTGGCAAAAAAGAGAAATAGCTGGAAAAATTGGCTCTAATAAAAGAAACTGCATTATTCTCATTGTGGTAAAAATAAAAATACTTCTCTTGTTAAGAACTACAGACCTGGCTCGGCGCCTATAGCTCAACCGGCTAAGGCGCCAGCCACGTACACCTAAGGTGG